CAAAATATATTTTATTTGCTGCTGTTATTCTACTTTGTACTTCAGTCAACTCATCATTATTACTTGTCAGGATTGTTCCAAGATATTTAAATTCTTGTACTTCTTGGAATATCTCCAATGTCATGTTAGGCTGGATCGTTATTCTTTGTCTATCTCTACTTTGTATCATCCGTTTAGTCTTGCTTTCATTAACATGTAACCCTACTTTAGCAGCTCCTAATTCCAGATCCTTATATATTCCTTCTAATGCTGGTAGCATTCGACCCATTATATTGAGGTCATCGGCATATCCTACTACTTGAGCATTCTTATATAATAATGTGCTATTGAGATCCACCTTGGTTTGTTTAACAACCCAGTGCAGAGCAAGATTAAAGAGCATTGGTGCTAGACCATCCCCTTGTTTAAGTCCCGATCCAATTTCTCTGCTTTGGGCATACATAATCCGAAAGCTCCAAGCGCTATTTTTGATTTTGGTTTACGTACTCTGATGAGCGATGTGCCAACTATGAGCTTTCATCGTATAACGCCTGTCATCATAACTGTCATTGATTAGACCATGCAGCTTCTATTCATGGAATAAAAAATTACCTCTCATTCAAGGGAAGAACATGGATTGAGGGTCTATGAGAACAGGATACTGGATTTTTTTATAGTTTATTTATCAACACTTTTAACATTTCAAAGTATATGGCGTGAAATGATAGGATGATTAATGAGTAATCAATTTCAAAGGTTGTAGGTGTTGAACTTTTATGTTGTTACGCTGTGTAGTATTTTGACTATACGCTAATGTTCCGGAGGAACTTGCTACCTGCTGGTTCAGTAATGAAGACCACCTTATATATTTGTACCCCCTTGGAAACCTTAAATCCTACAGGTATAAAGGTTGCGGAAGGGAGCGTTAGTGGTCTAATTTAAGAGACTGTTCCTGTGTCTGAAGAGACTGGTGAAAACCTCGGAAAACGTCGATTATAATAACCCTACTCCAGACTGAGATTTGAGTCTAGAGCCTTCCGAATACGACGTTGGTATGTTAGCAGCTAGACCGTGACGATTGGCGATGCTCATATTATTTGGACATGCGCGATATGAAGAGTGTGGAGAACTTTAAGTAATTCGTAAGCTTCATCAAACAGTAACAGTGTGATAAAATTAAGGAGGATGAGATGGGTGGAACATGTAGCGCA